AGATGAGGACCAGAGGAGGTGGCCCCCCCCCCCCCCCCGATTATGGCAGGTTGCAATCAGATCAGAGAGAAAGCCGCCCTTCTACGTTTGTTTTCCTGCGTCTTTTCCATTGGGGATTTAATGGCTGTCTCAGTTCTAAGACGAACAAGGGAAAGAACAGCAAAACTCCCAGGGGTGGGGAGACAGGAGGAACAGCATTTTGGGGGCTCTGCCTGGCTCTGGATGGATTTCTGTTCTGGAACAGCAAAGCCTTGCTCCCTCCCTGCCCATCTGAGCCAAAATTTTCATCCCCTCTCTGCCCGTGCCTTTCCCTGCAATCACTGTCAACAAACAGTTTCAGAATTGAGAAGGCCTGGATCCGGAGTGTGGTTCGGTCTTGAACGAGGCTGCTTCAGGCAAAGGTGGAAAGGTTAGACAGAGGGAGGCAAGTGTACAAGGCCCAGTGAGTCAGGCGTCTGTCTCATTTGTGATTTATGGGACCAGTTAGGGTAGTCATTTACTACCTCCCACGCAGTGTCAACAGTCTGACAGTCTCTGTTGCGTCATTTCTTGCTTCCAGAGAGAGTCCAGGCTTGATTTGATCCAGGCTGGTAGTTCTCAACCTCGTGTCCCCAGCTGTTCTCGGACTACAACTCCCAGAAGCCTTCACTGCTCGCTGTGCTGACTGGGGTTTCTGGGAGTCGGCGTCCAAGAACAGCTGGGGACCTAAAGTGAGAAACCACGGTTCTAGGGCCTACTGGCCTGTTTTTTCCTGGCAAGTCTCTCCTTCAGCACCATTTTTCAAATGAATCATTTCTCCCCCCCAATGGCTTTCTTCACTGCCAAGCTTTCACATCTGTACACAGCAACTGGGAAGACGTCACTCGAAAGGTGGTGCTGGAGGAGAGCTCTACAGATACCATGGGCCACCAGAAAGACAAAGAAAGTGACTCCTATCTCAATAGGCGCGAATATCTTGGCCTTGGCTTGATCTTGGTGACCTATTCACACACTTGAAAATCTTTCCTAGTTCCTTTGTGGCTGCCCTTAGAATTCACGGCCTTCTCCTTTCTGGGCTGGAGGGTCCATTTGGATCGATCGTGCCTTCTGAAGTCCCCAAACGGCCCAAACTAGGAATTATTTTCTAATCATGTCTGGGGTTTTGAAAAAGGGGGCAAATCTGGAAAGGGCGGGTGGACACCCTGGCCCCCACATCAAGACCCGTGTTCTCAGAATCTAAACCAAGGTCATGAATTACGAGCAAAATGGGCCTCGTGCTGATAACAAGAGGGCTCTGCAGGCAGCAACTTTTAAAACGCCTCCTGGTTTAACCTTTCAGCTTTGCTAGGAAAGAAAGAAAACCGAGACGGGTTCTGGGTGAAACAGGATCCTCCTTACAAGGGGGATATAAGGTATATAATTACAGCACCAGCCTGAGAGGACCCAGGTTGATGATATTCCAGCTTAGACATGAAACTCACTCCGCAACCCACACTCTCGGCCTATCCCACACCACTGGGTTGCTTCGGAAATAATGCTGAGATGCTCCCAGTTAACTTTGCACGCCGCTCTTTGGGAGGGCGGGCAAAAGAGTTAATCCGATGAAACCCTGGCCACTTACTTCTTTGTGACACTTGTCCACAACTTCGTGACTGACGCTGCCCCAGACTGTTAAATGCTCCCGCTTGTAGCAGGTCACCAACTCTGAAACCTGGAATCAAGACACGAAAGAGAGAGGTGGCTTTTCGTACAGTTGTGCATATGGGAGGCATGACACCATTACGTGGGGAGTTCACCACTGAGCGTTCGAGATAAGGAACAGCAATCGATGCGAAATGTGACTTTCGGTGCCGGAGAAAAGAAATTTACAGCCCAACAGGCTCCTCCCTAGGCCTGAAGTCAATAAAACAATGCATAACAAGATGATAGCATCCTTGGAAATGGATTTGATCAAATACGCCAAGGACCGATTTCATTGAGGATCAAGATTGTTCCTTAAAGCACCTTAAAGGACTAAGCGCTACGTTTTAATGTGAGCTTTTATGGACAAGTCTGAGGAAGTGGAGATGTCCGTGAAAGCTCACATCAAAACAGAGCAGTTGCTTTTTAAAGGTGCCGTGTCACTTTCGCTTACTTCATTCTTTCGTTCCCACCTTTCTAGTTTCTACCACCTGCTTCTAGGTGTGTATGCATTTATTTACGCCGTAAACGGAAGCAGGTAGAAGGACCCACCTTCTTAATCAGCGTGTCGTTGTTCACTTTGATGTCGATGTTGACGGGGGTGTGGGGAAAGGCTTCGAACACCTCCTTAAGGAGCGGGATGCGCTTGTCTTCGCCCTCACAGTGGCACTCTGAGAGACAGAAGCAAAAGGGGGTGGATGGCTGCCCGGATACATGCAAATTATCCTCAGTTAGGATTGAGGGCTGTTTCACAGATTACCTGAGTTGCAAAACCTGGATTGGACATCAAGCCAATAGGCGAAGTTGCCTTGTTCAAGGTCCTTTCCAGACAAAGCTTCCTCGACATCCAGCCAAACTACTGGCCCCTTCAAGATCAAGACACTCCACAATGGAGGCACATGGATGCGTGCCACCCGCACGCTTCCCACTCTGGTGCCTCAGCAGCAGCTCGCCCAGACCTCAAATGGCCATTGTTCTTTGCCCAACCAGAGATGCTGGGGGCTTGAACTTGCCACCTTCTGGACGCAAGGCATGCTTCCGTGTCTGACCTACTGGTCTTCCTCTTACATTCTTTAAGCCAGCCCCTAAATCCGAATGTCACTAAGTGATGGACATCCGAAACCTGGTTGCTACACCCTGACTTTGATGGAGGAGGCAAACATCCAGTTTGGATTAACAGCCGCATCACTTTTATTCTAAATATAAACTGTCATGAAAAGGTGGCAAGCTGGACAGAAATAAAATAAAAGGAAGTTGCATGCAGGATAACCCTGCAACTTCCAATTTTGAAAGCAAGTATACAGGAAGATCTTAAATACATAATCCACTATATTTTGAAAGCACTGAGAAATGTCAGGCATTACCTTTCTGGAAACTTACATCCAACCGGCAGAGATACGGTGGGAGTTCCTTTGAAAAAAACAAAATAGAAAAGTAAAGTCATGTGTATTCAAATACACACATATGTCCACTTAGAAAACCTGAAGGGTCATCATCAAGACGTGGTCCAAACTATCAGCTCCCCCACAAGACATAGTCCAGCATATCAACTCCCCCACAAGACATGGTCCAACCTATCAGCTCCTCCACAAGATGTGGTCCAACCTATCAGCTCCCCCACAGGAACAAGTCATCTTGATAGAGAAAAGAACAATGGATTAAGTGTGAGGGAAACGAGAAAAATATGGTGGTATATAAATTAAATAACAAATAAATGGAAACATACAAATTAAAATGGGAAAATAAATTGTTTGTTTTACCAGGATTCTTAAGTCACTTTAGCAGGCAGAAGCGATCATCTGATCTCTATTTTTTTCGACTCCAACACCCATAAACAGTTTAGCTGATTATTTCCAAAGTTTCAGGTGGAGGGGAATGTAATCTCTTACATGCATAAAATGCGACTGGGGATTTCTGTTTGGATATTTAGGGCTTTGGCTTCGGCAACAAGGCTGCCCACGGGTCAGCCTATCCTTTGGAACGGAGAAGTGCATTTTCAGGATCCCGAGGGGGCCCCTAGGACTCACAGAGTACTTGAGGTCGGAGATATTGACGTTGATCCCCGTCGACCGTTTCAGGTTCTCGTCGTGGGAGACCACAACTTGTTCGTCCTTCGTCATGTGGCAGTCAAGCTCCAGCATATCGGTGCCCACGCTAACGGCACTGGAAGGAGAAAGCAAAATCAAGTCTCTTTTAATGGAGAGGAGCCCCTCCAGACAGACACCGCCGCTTCCCGCCCTTGTTTGCTGTTTCCGCCAGTCGGTCGTGCAAAAAGAATAAATGCAAATATCACTCCATGACCCAAATTCTCAGAGCAAACATGAGATCTGCCCTCTTGACTTCTAGACAGAAATATAAACCAGCCTTTTAAGCCTTACAAGGTCAGGACTTGTTGCCTCTGACAATCAGAATTCACGTGGGTGATGCAATCATCCAACCGGCTATACCGCAAGGTGTTGTATGTGGGTGATTTAATGGCTTGTGATTACCTTGTAAATTAACCTGTTAGGGATTTGAAGATGCATATAAAAGAAATTAAGATCTGTTAATGCAACAGCGAGGAAGGTCAGCAACTGGCAACCCTCAATCCGAATCGGGCCCCGGCAGAGAGTTTAAATAATAGCAGCAAATGTGGTGAGTGGCAGATGATTCGGAGGCTGAAAACATGTCCCTTCACTTTTCTCGGAGTGAACTATTCGAAAAGTAAGCTGCCGAGTCCTGTAAGACTGCATTGGTAGTTCTCACATGGCCTTATGCACCACCCCATGCAGCTCTGAAGCAGAGGCGGACGGGATCACCAGCTCTGTTTGTGGGGGAGCACCTGCTGTCAAAGGGAAACACTGGAAGAATCGGGGCAACTGGCAAAAGGGCCATGCAAAGCAGCGGGGAGATGGGAGGGGTGAGGGAGAACCAGGTACATCTAGAAGGATAGCTTCCTGGCCTTTGTGGGTTGGTGGAAAGTGAAAAACGCATCTCTTTTGCTAAGGGGAATTAGGGATGCAAAAGCTAGAGGTTAAGTGGGAACTACAACCAGAAGTTGCAGCGCACTGTGGGACTCTAAAAGGGATGCTTTGATGAGCCAGTCTGGGAAGGAGGAGCCTAGAATGGGAGAGAAAGCTAGGAAAAGAAAAAAGAATGATCCTTCTCAGTCCTCCTTCCCAACACCTCCTTGGCTAAGTGACATAGCGCTAGAGCTCTTCTGGAGCAGCACCCAAGTGTTTTAATGCAGAATCTGGGCATGTATGAGCAACAACCCGTGACTGTCCTAAAGGAGCCTCCACCCATTGGATGTTCTAGATTGTAGCGTCCATCATCTCTGACAACTGGCTGCACCAGATGGGGCTGATGGGCCATCCCTTGCCCCAAAGTCTATTTCAGTTTGGAATCTGTAACTCATTTGAAAAATCTTGCACTGCACAGCTACGCGTCTCTGCGAAGACACAAAGACCCATCAAGAGGTGTATGGTTTTGACTGTATCCTACAAAATGTTGTTTGCATAATTATACCGTAAAACGTCCTGAGAGTGCTTTAGTGCTATGTGGGGTGGTATATAAGTCGAAACAGCAAAACGGTATTGACTTAATTCTGCAAGTTTTGCTTAGCTGTGCTACCCCACTCTGTAACATGCCTGCGGTTCTGACTTACATCTATTTTAATGATCTTCTCCAGTTTTATTCATTACTGCTTGTCGGTTCTGACTTACATCTATTTTAATGATCTCCGGTTTTATTCATTACTGCTTGTTCGATCCATGTTGAAAAAATGAACTGATGCAAGTTAATTTCTTTTTTTTTTTTTGCAACTCTGCACTTCTTTTCTTTTTCTTTTCTTTTTTTTTTTTGCAACCCTGCACTTAAAAGAGTTTGCCGGATTAGATTTTTGTATCATTTTAATAAGGCAGGGTGTGTGTGTGTGTGTGACCCATTGAGCTCAGTTTTTGCCCTCAACTTTGTTGTTGCCTCCATTTTGAAAATCAAATTATTCTACTTTGGTTTTGTGGGGTTTTTTTTGGGGGGGGGTTGGCCTGAAAAGCTATCACTCGCCACATGAAAACATAAAAGTGCATCTTTTCTTGGTTGCAAAAGCACTGCCGTTTACAACCCCAGATGGTGTTATAAGATAATTAGATTCTTAGACCTCTAATTGGACGTTTTTAGGTTCAAGAGTAGCTCAGTGAGCAGGTATGATTTTATGTTGCACTGAAAAAAAGGGGAAAAAATATGTTAACAGGTACACATAAGCCATTAAAACAGCAATCAAAACAAGGTTATGTCAGCCCATCATTTTCCATTTGTCCATGAGGAGAGATATTACTTGCTACCATGTGGGCTTAGCTCTCTAATGGAGAGGGGGCTGAATTAAGCTCCTTGCTCGAGCTGGTGAGCCGGATCCAGTCCTGTCTTCCAACCTAGCGTACCTCGCAAGGTTGTGAGGACAAGAGGAGGCCACCCCGATATATGTCAACAAAGGTCACTTTGAGGAAGGGAGGTGTAACTCCATGATGGAAAGATAGCCAGCACGTCAACCAGAATTTTAAGGACAGATCTGAATTTTTGGTGTAGAAAAGGAGTAGTTCCAAGCATCTTGGCGTTAACGCGTATTTTCTCCCCGACACGGTGTTGTCGAGTGACCCGTCGGTATCACTGTTAGCTCTGCCAGCTTCAGATAAAAGAGGGAAGAAATTCTGCCCCGGGCCTCGTTATCTTTATCGGGAATGATCTGTTTGTCCAGATAAGCCGTGGCCAAAGTCTGGGCTTCGTTTCCCACAGAGAGAGCACCAACCGGCTTTTTCCTCAGCAAGGTATCAACCTCACCCAGTCCAAGCGATCCACCTTTTTCCCGATCGTCTAAATGCAGCAGTTATAAAAGGCAAAGCAGCTATAAAAGCTCCGAAGTCAATCTTTCCATTAATCTAGCCGATACATCGTAGATAGCCGTAAAAAAAATAGAATAAAAAACCACACACCCACACACCCAAATGCTTCTTGGATTCATTGTGAGCCTAGAAAAAAACTACTTTTTTAAAATGGTAATTCTTGACATTCCCAGCAGCATGGCCTTCTTGGGTGGCTGCTCTTGGGCTACAGAACATCCTTCTAGGAAGTTCTGCTTTCTCTTACCTGGGATTTGGCCCTTTCCATAAAAAACAAACACACACAACCCTCCAGAACACTTCCTATTCAAGATGTTTTTTCTGCAATGGACGGGCTATTAAGGAAGGGAGTTTTAAGAGCCAACTGCATCATCACTATCTTAGCTGGTCTGTTTTTAACATGGCATTTTAACACCTCTGTGTGAGTCGCTCAACTGTGCTTCCTTAGTATAACTGAACAGCGCTTGCCTCTTCTCCTGTTTTCACCTTGAGCTTCGGTTCAAGGAGAAAAAGCGGGATGTAAATCAAATGTTTTAAAAAATTAAAAACTGCCCAAGCTGTCTCGTGACTAGCCCTCGACAGGGGCTGGGCTCCGATCCGAGCAAGCGGTGGCCACACGTGTGTGGGATTTACGCCTGGGGTCTCGAGAAGGATAAAGTAACCAAGGACGACGATTGCAAAAATGACATTCCGGGACACAAGTGAGCATCAAAGAGCCAGACCCTCAAGGGACTGCAACCGAAGCCTCCAAGGCTTGAGAAAACAGGCTTTCCGGAACACAACTTGGCAACCCTCGCTCACAAACCAGCTGTAGTGAGGCTGAGTGTTGACATTTCTATTTTCTGACCAACTCTGCACTTGAAGATCAGACGCTTCTCCTGGCGCCCTTAAGGATGACTTCTTTTCCAAGCTAGGCCCCTTCCCAGTGGAGAGATGCCCCCCCCTGTCCTCCACGTTGTTAGCATTTAGAGCCAGGTGAAAATGTATTCATTTGTACAAGTTTTTCAGATACCGCAGCAGGTACTTTATTTATTTGATGATTTCTGCTTCTTTTTTATTATTTATTTTTTAAAAAATATCCAGCTGGATGGATGACTCAGTGGTTTAAGTCTCTGTCTGTGGAGCCCATGGTTGGGAATTTGATTGCCCACTGGGCGCCCCTCCTACCAAGAGAGCCAGCCTGGGTAGCCTTGGGCAAGCTGGACGGTAGCCCCAGGGCACCCCCGGAAGAAGGGCAATGGGAAACCACTTCCAAGTATTCCCTACCTGGAAAACCCTGAAAAAGGGTTGCCCAAAGTCAGAAAAGGCACATGATTATTATATTTTAAATTCTATTTTATTATTTATTATAGGCCCTGGACGTTAGAAGATGCTGAGCTATGAAAATGCTGGCAGTGCTGAACACTTAAGAAGTTATCTGGACTCACTGAGATTATACCAAGGACAAAGAAATAATGAAATGAAGGATGGGATCCATTTCTTGTTATGATCGCAACTCCATCCATAAAAACTCGTGCTAGCTTTTTCTTCCTCTGGTTCCCTTACTGAGAAATCCAGCATGATTTTGAAAGGAGAAGCTTGGCAAGGTGTGTGGGGTTTTTTTTTTNGGGGAGGCACTTTAATGCCATTTCGTTTCTGAACTCTTAACGTTCGCGTTGCCATTCATAGCCCCCTCACCTTTAGATTAATTTTGCTACCACAGGGTGTGTAGGCTGGAAACTCTGAGCCGAGAGACTTACACAAAAGAAATAGCTATTTTGCAGGGGACACCACGATCCGAGTTCTATTAGGCGTGTTTCATTTTACACATGCCCTGTATTTTGCTTTACAGCCTTCGGGAACAACATGTAGCAAGGTGAGATTTTAATATTTCAGACACCCAAGAACTGCCCTCTGAGGCAGCTGTTTCCAAAACAGATATACATGAAAGGAAACCTAAGCAGAAAAACCTTTGCAATGTAGTTAAAAGCAGGAGGGACAAAACTCAAATGATTTTTGAAAAGAACAAATTGATTTAAATAATGTTTTAAATCCAAAAGTTGATTTTCAAAAAACTTGAAGTGTCAAAAAACACACACCCTTTAAAAAAATTGGTATTTCAATTGTGATTGAAATCAGTTTGAGTCAAATAAAATCCATCCTGGTGAATTCGATATTACGCCGTCATGTTAATGGCAAAAATTACCACTTGGCTACGGAAATCCCAAAATGTTAAAATACTGATCTTTACAATGAAATGGGTTTTCAGTGATTTCAAATCCTTAAAGAAGAAGAAAAAAAAATCTGGAGGAAATGCAGGCAAGAAACGTTTGCTAGAAAACCAGCAGTGAAAAAGCAGAAGAGAGACAGACAGAGAGGGAGTTTCATGTTTTAGTTTTCAAAAAGCATATCCTTCCCTCCGGAGTTTTCAAGACAGGAGGGGCAAGCCAGAACTTGCTCGCCGGTTTTCCCCGCGGCACAAACATTATGGACAAACGAAGGTAGAAGTGGCATTATGGGAAAGGGACGGTGGGTAGAGGGAATCCGGCTATGCATGGATGTTGACGCTGGACGTGAAAGCTAAGAGCACAGCTTTCTCCTTCCTTTTCGAAGGAGTCAAGGAGAGACATCAACCTCACAAAGACTTTCCTGCTGTAACGGAGGTGAAGGAGACTTTGGGGGTCACAGGGGAAACACAACAGAGGGGTCTAGTGCTTAGAATGATGGACTAAAACATCAGAAGTCCAGAGTTCTAATCTCAATTTAGCCACGCAATCCACTGGGCGACACCGGCTTAGCCACAGATCACAGAATAATTGAGTTGGAAGGGGCTACAAGGCCACTGGCTCCCACCCCCTGCTCGGTGCAGGAATCTAAGTCACTTCTCTTCCACCGTGTCTTCCCCGAGGGACGTGCCGTGAGGATGAAACGGAGAGGAGAACCAGAGAGGTCCCCCTTGAGCAGACTGGCAGAAAGGTGGGGTAAAAGATGGGAGGTAAAGAAAAAAATAAATCTCAGACTTGGAAGGGTTTAGAGAAAGTGCATTTAAAAGCATGCGTGGTTTACATTCCCCTCCATCAGCAGTTTTTTATTTATTATTGGATTTTTATCCCGCCCTTCTAGACCGAAGTCTACTCAGGGCGGCTCACAATATATTATGCACAAACAAGTTAAAAACAACAATTAAAATCTACAATAATTTTTGTTAGTGAGTAAAAGGGTTTTAGATATATACCCGTGCTCCTTGATTTCTATTATTTATTCCAATTAGATCTTTTCTTGTAGGAACCAAGGAGCGCAGGAAGACAACCCTTACAATGTTTTCCTGTTGCTGGAAGTAAGAGAGGCTATAGATGTCATTAACGAACAATAAACAGCTGACCTGGAGATATTTATTTTCATCGATTACCTTCCATCCTTCTCGGGACACAGCGGGTGATACGTGAGCGAGAAGGGCTGGAGGCAGTAACGAGTGACTGCGTTCTTATTTACCCTCAACGTTATTTTACGGAGAGAAGCCAGGGGTGGGACAAGAGGGCCTCGTTAACCCGATGCCCGTGTTCAGGATCCACGCCTGCTTTTAATTAAGCTATCAACACCGAAGGAAACCCACTCGTGGGTCATCAAAAGACGGTCTCATTGCCTAAGCGAGTCTACAGGGGCATCTGCTAGCGCTCTGTGTGAGCGACTCTGGATAAGAACCCGGACTTCATACTCACTGGCGAAAGGCGGCCATGGTGTTTTCCAAATTCTCTCCAGCACCTGGAAGAGGAAAAAGATATTTTTAAAATAAGCAACGACCATGGACCTTAAGCAGTATGTGGGAGGGAGAAGGGGCAACCCAGGACCAAAACACTATACACGAAGCTCTGGACTTCCCTGCCCCGAATTAGTTAAAACCCGAAAGAAGCATGATTTAAATCCAGGCACAAGGGATTCGATATTTCACGTTCTTAAAAACAGGAGAGGGAGTTAACCAATGAAATGGACTTGCAGACTCTGCAAGGTTTAGAAGAAGGGGGTGGGATGACCCATGGTGGAGGGGGGGCCATGTGACCACGTAAAACTAGACCCAGTGCCGTGTTTTAAGCCCCACGAAAGAGCTAGCCCAGTTTGAACTTCAAAACCATCTCGTGACAAATTCTCCGCATGGATTTACAAGATGTTTCACGATCTGTGGGCCCTGGCTGTCTTGCCGGGGCCAGGAAAACTTCCGATTTATCTGGCCCTTGCGCGAATAACTTAAAAGAGTTATGCAGAAAGTAACGCAGCACACAAAAGACGTCGGAGACACAGCAAAAGAGGGGCAGATGCGTTTTGTTCCTGTAGAAAACCTGAGAAATCCCCCCCCCCTTCGTTTCCTTAGAAAGTGTTCTATTACCTACTCCCTTGCCTTCAACACCTATGAAGTACCTGCGGCAACACCAGGACTCAATTATCTTTACTGAAAAATATCCAGTGCGGTGTAGTGGTCAGAGTGACGGACTAGGACTCCGGAGGCCTGGGTTCGAATCCAGCTCTGCCACAAAACTCACTGGGGGCATGGAACTGGGGAAGCTGCTCCTTAAATATCTCGCTAACCTCAAAAGCCCTATTAGGGTCATTCTAAGTCAGTTCCGACTTGAAGGTACTCCACAAGAAAAAAAAACCCTGAGCCAGTAATCCATCCGAACAAAAACTCGGTTTGTCCTCCTGTAAGGACCTAGTTTGTGCCAAGTCGGAGAGGCAGGAGCGATACAAATTCTTGTCCATTACTGCAGTAAGACACAGTTTTTAAATGGAGCGAATAAGGCTTGCGGGGAAGAAAAAGAACAGCGGCGTGGTATTCACCTGCCTTATCATACAGATAACACCGTTTCTTTACCTAACTTTACGCCTCTCGTTTCAACTCACTACTTCAGACAAAGTGGATTAAACGGAATTAAGAGTCCCAAACTTTCTGCTAACGGGCAACTCCGATAATCCTGTTAACCGTTGAAGAAGTCTGCCCGGCATCACATGACTTCGGCTCCGTTGGCTTTTCCTCCCCACCTTAGACAAAAACGAAAATTCGATCTCGTTCCTCTTCAGGTGGGTTGGGTTCCAAAAGGTGCCTTCTCCTCAAGCCACTTAAAAGAGGAAGCTCCAAAAAATAAAAAAATAAAATACAATTTAAACAAAGGAATGTCCAACTTTTTTTTAAGGCACAGGCTCAGAAAAAAACGTCACTACCAGAACAATGTTACTGCATAAAATGGGATGTATAGCATTCAATACTTCTGTGGTTTTCAGCCTCTGTAAGGTGGTGGAGTTGTGAGTTTGGAACCAACCCACCCCCCCGGGATACGTTGGCCCTACCATATCTACATTCAAAAGACAAGTCTAGTTGACTTAAGCAGTCATCTAACAGTGTAAAGAATCTTGCCTTTCTTTTCCATCTGCTTCTTAAACAGCGACAGTTTCCTCCGCTCTTTGTAACACCTTACCCCTCTAAAAGAAGCAAAACAATACCAATACTGTACAGGCTGATTAGGAGAGAAGAGGGATACTAATCTAGGTCACATTTCATCAGACTTGAATTACAAAAGCAGAGAAGATGTTGGTTGACCGGTCGGGCCCTCTGAACGCCACCAGGTCATTCTGTATAGCTTGGTTGCCTCCCCAGCCAGGTCGCAACACCCCCCCCTTTGGAGGCTCCACCTAACCTCCAGGCCATATGACACCTCGGGAGACAAGAGGATGCTATTTTAAACCAACCCAGAGTGGAAGATGATCTTCATTACTTATATATGACCGAGGTCTTGCACAAAGTGGGAAAGCATTACAGTGAAGACACAAGCGGGAGGCAAAAGAGCTTACTCAAGCCAACAACTCTGAAGCAGAGCTACTCACGCATGGAGAACAGGGGCAATCCCATCCCTGCTCTCAGGAGTCAAGACCAAGCTCTTCCGCCAGCCCCTGTCCCTGGCTACGCAAGCGACGTCACTCCCGACTTTTCGTATTCAGCCCCATCCTAGGGTAAATGGCCCAGCGGCCACAGGCGTGAGACCCAGAGCCCCCCATCTGCTTTGGGATGATAAATTCAAGCGCTGGGGAGGGACCTTTCAGCCTCAGGTGGCAAAACAATTTGTCTGATTTTGGGCATTCTGCTTCTTCGGTCACGGGTGGGAGGGCCACTTTCTGCTCTGCCTCGGACTACAAGAGGTACTGGCCGGTCCAGTAACTTCCCATCAAAAACACCCTGTTTTCCAGCTTTTAAGCCAATTGGTCCCAACCTAGAGTCCCCAGATGTTCTTCGACTGAAACTCCCAAAAGCTTTCACCACTAGCTGTGCTGGCCAGGGTTTCTGGGAATTGTAGTCTAAGAACATCCAGGGACCTCAGGTTGGGAATAGTACATGTTTTCTACGGATCCTCGTGGCTTAGCTAAAATATGATGCAGCAATCAAGAGCGATCAACGAGGATTCGGAAGTCGGGAGTCCCCACTGAGCCACAAAACTCTCAGGGTGGCCAGCTGTGGGCCGGCCGGCCAGCTTGACAGCCAACCTCTCTCTCAGTCTCGCAGGTGTACTTCACAGGGTTGTCATGGGAGTAACATGGGGAAAGAGAGTAGCTAGGCTACCGTGAGCTCACGAGGAAAAGCAAAAAACGACAATGAAATTAAGAATAACCATAAAGGCCTCTCTCAGAAAACTGTCTCTGTGCATCAAACCCTCCTCTCCGAGAGAGAGACCCTAATTTTCTTCTACTGGCGGTCAGCATAAAGGTGGGTCACCTCTATGCCCACAGGCAGTCAGCGCTCCTAAGGATGTGCCAGCCAGCCAAGAGGTCACAGGAAAAAGCTTTCCCACGCCGACAGCTCTCACCCGAAACAGTTCAGAGTGCAATGGTAGGTATTAAAAGCTCAAGTTGGACAGCAGGAAGATCCTGGGATCACTCACGCAGCCGCCACCGGCTCCTCTAAAACCTTTTCGTTCACAGGCCTAATGGATTAGATATGTGACACAAGGATAATCCTTTGGGATTTCACTCTTGACTGATACAATTACCTAGCTGGGTAATTAATAAGACAAAGAGAGAGAGATCCTAATGTCCATCCACAACTCCCTTGTCAAGGCAAGACCCGCAAGTGGGAACCTTCCCCCCCCCCCTCAGCTCCTCTCACTTATTCGCCTATTATTTTGGCTGTTCTAAAGATCCTTTTAGCATGCAAAGTGGCTCTAAATTTACATTCAGTTCCAAAGCAGCTGGCAAGCTAAAGGCCATAGATTTGGGGGTGGGGGGTGGGATGTGTGTGTTTTGTGGGGGGAGAGACAGAAATCTGTAACCTGCTACTCATAAGGAACCACACGATGATCATTCCCACAAAGGCCATGAAAGAATCTTGTGGCATTTTTAAGGCTAACAAGGTTTATGTGCCGTGAGCTTCCATAGGAGGGTTAAAATCCGTGTAAGTGCATTGCACTTAAATCATGCTGGTGTCTATGATGCTAAGCAGGACACACGGGCATTTCTGCTGAAGAGACTCCCTCTGACACAGATTTCTGCGGAAATGTAATGAAGACCATAAATTGAAAAGCATACTGTATAACATAAAAAGATTACAGAGAGCAAAGAAGTCTGAAGATTTTTGAGCAAGACAAGGTCAGTCCATCCCTCCTTACTTTCCACATCCCCTATGAAAAATTTGGACAGGCTGCCCTATTAAAGTATTTACTTAACAGAACAATATATGTACAGTATGTGTGAATTTGGATACACACACAAACTTGCAAGAGCGACAAGCAGAAGTATTTAAACAAATTATTTCGGCTTCCACCTTTTTTCATTAGCTCTGGTAAATGTAGGCTGTTTCCCAGATGGCCATAAATACATAAAATATCAAATTATCATCTCCTAATTGCTCATAAACCACCCACTGTCAATTTAACCACGACCCTGCTTCTCCCTCCCTGTTCAAGCCAGCCTAAACAGATTCTGCAACCTCTCTTAAAATATTGTGAGATTACCCTTCAAAACCTAAACAGATGGCAATTCTAAGGATGGTGAGCACCATAAAAGAAAATTAAGGAAATCAGGATCAATAGAGATGAAGAAATCTCAAAATATGCAATTTAAACCTGGAGATGGCTGATGGTGGGGGGGGAGAGTGGGGGCAGGCGGACAATCAAGCAAGTACCGTAATGATAAATGATTTTTTTTTAAGTGGGGCAGAATTTTGGGAAACAAAGGTGGTCAGATTTAGGGCATGGGGGGAGAAAATGGCTGTGGGGGGGCGTAAGGGGTAAGGCTTGCAAATGTGTCAAGGATAAGATGGGGACGAGATCAACAAGAATAATTAGCCACCCGCAGTAACAAGAGGATAATAAAATCAAATCTCAGCATTCAGAGACTTTCTGGGCAACCCCGAAGGGGCGGTTTTGTTTTTTGGGGGGGCTCCGAAGGGTAGCCATCCCCACCCCTTTCTGTCGGGGCCAGAAAGACCGAGCACAGCCTTCAAGGTCATGCTTTTGAAGGTAAAGAGAGGAAGAGAAAAATCCTCAGCCATCCCTGCCTACTAGGGCTCCTCAGCCTCTTTAAATATTTGCGCCTGATCAGGGGATCCTCCTTTGCCTCCCGAGATTTTGGGGAAGGGGTTTCGCTGCCACAAAAGGAACAAAGATCCGGGGAGCGCCCAACAAGGTTAACGGATGTGTTAAGCAGCTCCGATTTGCTTCAGAGGTGACATCAAATATTTATTTCCAGTTGGGAGACGGATGTCTTTGATCACCCCCCCCCGAGAAAGAGGGACAGGAAGCAAGTATTTCCTCTCTTAGCTCAGCCACACGCCCCCAAAAACAGATTTCTATGCCTGTTCTCTCCCCCCTCCCAATCAAAGACCATCTCTCCATCACCCCTACTTCCTCCAAACAATGCTTTCCTTCCTTTTAAGATTCAGATCCAGCAGGCAGAGCATCATCAGGAAAGCCCGCGGGTCCAATGAAAGGTTCGCTTTATGGCTGGGTAATTAAAAAGCATGTTGTTGTTGTTGTTTTTTTAAAAAACTTCTTTTCTTTCAGATTTTTTTTTAAAAAATGGGTTCTCCTCCCCACCCCACTGCAGACTTGATACAGAAAGGCCAAGGATATATGTTTTAAATAAATAAATAATAATCCAAACAGTGTCCATTTTAAGGGAAAAGGTGGGGAATATATATATTAATTTACTTCTTAACTGTATATACTGCCCCATCCGTGCAATGCACTAATAATGATCATAATAATAATAATAATAATAATAATAGTAATAATAATAATAATAATAATAATAAAATCTCTCTATTTGTCACATCTCCCAAGGATATTATCACCATCTGCCACTCCCCCCCATCCTGATCCTCCCCAGTAATATTTCTCCCCTCTACAAAAAAGCCCTCCTTTTATATATTTATAAACCCAAGAGTGTCTCTTAATGCAAGAATCTCTGCAAATCCCCCCCCCAGGGACTTCTAGATTTCCAGCCCCTGTCGTGCATTAAAAAACAACAATCCACTCTCCCCCTCCATTATTGTCTTCGGCCCATTCCTCAACCTACATTGTGACCCCGAAAAAAAAATCATCTTTTTTCCCCCAACCCCACCCCCCTTTTTAAGCCTCTTTCTGCTTCTCCCACCTGCTTCCCGCAGGAAAGGCTTCGATTAAATGGATAACAAATTCGAGCTTCGTGCTCGACCTCTCGAGACTGAAAGGGAGAGGCAGGGGTGATGATTAGGATGTATTTCAAAAAGGGGACAAAACGGAGGAGGAGGAGCCGCCCCGGCGAAGCGCCCTCACCGCCGCGGTGGGAGATGTGCCGGCATCGGAACCGGTGTCGCTTGGGTCGGTGGAGCAAGCCCGGGTATTTCAGCAGCACCGCCGAGGTCAGGAGGTAGCCGCCGAGCGTGGAGAAGAGGTAGAAGGCGGCCGACATGATGATGGTGGTGGTGGTGGTGGTAGTGGCGGTGAGGACCGGCGGCCGCCTCAGCTCCGCACACGACCAGCCTCCCCGGCGGACTGAGGGCATCGCCACCGGGCTCCCGCACCCCCTCTCCGTCGCCACGCCCACTCCCCACCACCGCGCAGGCGCCGAAGGCGGGGAGGGAAAAGAGGGCGGAGCTAGGCCGCCCCCTGCTGTGATTGGCTGCTCGGAGCGCGTGGCTCGGGCCGAGCGAGAGAGAGAAGGAGGGAGCCGAAGGAGGGAGAGAGAAGTGGGCGGGGAAGAGGCTTCCGACGCCGTGACGTCAGCGTGCGTCACAGGATGGCGGGCGCCCTTCCCCCAGCCTGTTAGGAGGTACTGTACAGTAAAAAGGAAAATCATCTTTTTTCACTCTTTCATATGGTTAAAGCGGAATATCTATTACAGCAATAATATAATGTCATAATACTTTAATAAATATTAGTAGATTATAATATATATTACTATACAGTATACTGTATTATGTAGCAATATAATGTAATATGATATAATATAGTAGCTACTGGTTGGCTGTCAGTTAAGATGCAAAATCTTGACGGTTATTCTCTGAGTGTGAGGAAAAAGCTGAAGTAAAGTGACAGTTACTCTCCAAATGTAAGTTAAAACTGAGGTAAAAGGTTCACTGTTTGGCTGCCTGTGGTATAACTATAAGGAACCATTAAAACAACACAAATCTTTCTGTCAGATGTGAGGTAAATTCAAAATAATGAAACAGTGACCTCCTTTCTTTGTAGTTGTGAGGTAAAGCGCAAATAAAGAAAGGGGGGAAAATATGACAACATATTGCAAAGTAGAGATTAACAGATTTATTTCAGTGTGAGCTTTCCTCAATTTGCTGAGAATTTTCTTGCAGGAAATTTGTGGCAGGGTTTAGCTTGATTTTGAGATTAAAGTGGTACCTTTGAGCATGTGCAGAGTGCCATTTCAAAGAGCACTGCTTACAACAACGATCATTCAAAGCTGATGTATTCTTGGGAGCCCAGTATAAACACGTAGCATGGGTCTGCCCCCTCATAACTACGATCCCCTTTCATACTATTCAAAAGAAACTTCAGCACTGGTAGTTATTGAGCATGTCATATATTCAGGATGAATAACCATGTATTTCAGACAAGTAATTGTTCTGCCTGAGCCCCTTAAAACCTATTAGCTAGGCATTCATGTTGTACTAAGCCCTGGTTTATATTTTCATGTCACGCTAAGCCATAGTTTATGTTAGCCATGTTAACCAAGTTTGACAGAAACCATGGCTTGTTTCTTCAGTTACAAACTAGCCCACAGACAACCCAAAAGGCCAGCATGTTTTCCTCCTTTCTGGTCTGCTTCTCTCCTGCTGCCTTTTGTCAACTCCAGTTTCAGTGAGAAACCATGCTTAAACAAACCATGAGATAAACAAGCCAGGATTCATGAACACAGTGGCTTCCAATGGTGGTTTATGGCTGGCTAAAAAAACCCACACCTTCTCGGCAGGAATGGGTTGGCACATAATGGTAAGGTAGAGCTCAAAAAGCTACAACCTGGCTTACCATTATGTGCCAACCCAGTCACAGTATCACCAAGGAAGTCATAGATGGCATTTCGAACAAAAACTCTCTTGTTTTGGGGTTGGAGTTAGATATCCTACAGATGTTGCTGGAGGTCTCTCTTGTGTGTAGCCAATAGAGAACAGTTATGTTTTGACAGCAAAGGAGCTGACATTTTATTTTTCTTGTCTTCATTTCAATTTATATATCCTTGTAAGCCAGCATGTAATTGATGCCAATACAAAATATACTTGCATCTTGAAAAGAGCTTGGCACACATACATGGTTTCAATACGAAGTGCATTAGCTTTACAAAATTAAAACAGTGATTGCTGTCAAAATTCCAGCTGTTCATAATCAAAATCCATCATTCACATTTGAGGTGAGGGGAGAGAAACGGAGGCTGGGGAAAAAAAGAAAGCATTCGAAAACCAACTCGGCCTTAGGCGGCCAGTAAATCCTATTGTACGACAGCTCTGAGGATTCCTCGGATCACCTTATAACTCATCAGCTGCTGGTTTTCCTTGGGAGGGAAGCAGGGCCCACGTTCCGTCACGTAGGCATATGGAAAACGGAGCACCCAGAGTCCGTCAGGCGGAAGGGTTATTTCTTGTTTCTCAGGGTAAAATATAGGACAAGGAGGTGGACCTGGCTGGACCTAGGGGTCGGAAGGAAACAAGAAAATAAAAATAGCTTCAACATCTTCATACAAAGATGTTCATCTTCATTCCACTCCTCCCTCCACCTGAAAATGGTACATTTGGAGCATCTGAATTCAATAGTATTGCTATAAAAGCCTTTTTCATGGCCTAGCTTGTAGTCGGTGAAACCTATTCTTTTCACATCCTCACCTTCTATTTCTAAGATGCCGTTGAATGTTTCAGCATTTTCACCTGACAATCTAGTTGTTTTTTTTACGTTTCCGGAGCAATGGTTCCCAACCTCAGTTCTCCAGATGTCCTTGAACTAAAACTCCCAGAATCCTTCACCACTAGCTGTGCTGGCCAGGACTTGTGTGTGTTGTAGTCCAGGAATACTGGGGATCCAAGGTGAGTTTTCATGACTTAATGGAAACTTGAGTCTGGATCACTTAAATCTCAGAACAACAACTAAAACCATTGGAAGACACTGGGTCTCGTGTCATCTAAGATTCTTAAAATAAAAGGGGGCAGAGGAAGTGCCACCTGTCTCTATTTATTTTGATATTCTTGGAAGAAAGGTACCATATAAAGGTAATAAATTAATTTAAGACAGAGTCCTCTGTGCAGAAGGTTCAGCTGACCTTACCAGCTATTTTACTCAGCAACACCAAGGTTCAGGGTAATGGTTTTAAAATCCTGAAATCGCTCTCCAGTTTTCCTTTGAATGTTTTTTTTTCTGTAAGTCAATGTACCCCCTTTCTTACCTGTGGTGTGAGTATTATCTGGAGTGGAGCATCAGGAACAACCACGAACAGCCTCATCAGCTGAGCATAGTGTGGCTTTAGTCCTCGCCCGGGATTGGACGACAGGATGTACAGGGGCATATCAGAGTTGAGAGCTTTGATGGCCGATTCCTTTGGCCCTCCGCCCATCACCTTCATGATCTTCTCAGGCGCTGAACACATGAACCTCCGGCCCCGGGCATCCTCATACTCAAATCCCACGAAGGCACGAGCCACATCATCCCGTCGCCTCCCTCTCCCCATAACGACGGCGCTCCTTTTCCCCGGAACAGCCTTATTGGGAGCTGGCCAGGAATTCGTATCCAGATCCCCCTCCTCGTCATTTCGGGTCCTGATGACTATGTCCCACGGCATCAAATAGTTGGTTCCCAGGATGAAGCCCTGCTGATCTAAACCGGAGTGGAAGTTGTACGCCTTGGCGGGGCCAAGTTTCACCAGGGACCAGCTGGAAAATTTGGGCAGAAGACCTTTGGGGCAATTTGAATGAAGCATCCCGGGCAGGTACTCAACCGTCGAGGCCTGACGGTCTACCAAGCTTGGTCTCTTCTCCCCTTTAGGTTCAGTCGCCTGCCCGTGAGCCTCTGTGTTATTCCCTCCGGCCTGCGGGTCAGCAGGGTAAGTCCCCAAGCTGTCGGTGGACTGGCCCAGGCTGAGAGCTAAACTGAGGCTAGTGCTCTCTCCCTGAGTCTGCGGCTCCTTCTCTTTCAGTTTCTCCGCTTCCCCTTCAGGAGGGCTCGGGGAGGCCTCATTCTTGGCTGGTGCTGGATCTGGCGTACTGGGTTGAAATATGGGAAAGTGGATGTGGTCCAGTTTTGCACAACATTTCTCTTCCAGGAGCTGAAGAGGGAAGGAAGGAAAAACAGACAGTGATAAGAAGGTCTGCAGACAAAAGAAAGGAGGAGCAAGCTGCATAAACACAAAGGCTATAGGTATGTAATCAAGCATTGGTTAAAGAATGTGTTTATCCTTTTCTTGTCCCCACCCCCCCTCCTATTAACAAAAATTCTTTGGGCGGATTACAGAAAGCTGAATGAATACATTACAATATAGTAAGAAAATAAAACCAAATAGCACAGGTGAACATATAAAAACAGGCATAACATCTAAGTAGCAAAAGGAGGACTGAACCAGCCCCAGTTGTAAGCTTTAAAATATCAGCTACCTATCTTTCCATATCTGGGATTCAACTAATTTAAACATGTGTTTTATATTCTATTGCTGTGATCCATTGTGGCTCAGTCTGTTGGAGAATAATGAACTGAATGAAATCAATATGCCCTGGAGGAGGGAATTATCAACACTATTTATATACTGTACTCAAAAATTGAGCCAATGTAGTGTGGTGCATGAAAATGAGTGACCTCAGAGTAGCCTCCCTTCAGCCTAGCATACATCATATGATTGTTTTGAAGATGAAAGCTAAGCTGGAGAAAGAACATATAAACCACCCCAAACTCTTGGGAGAAAAGGAAAGATACCAAACGTATTAAGGTAGACCCCACCGTTGCAATAATTTACAAACAGCCCCTTTTAATGCAGAGAATTTCTTCTTTCTCGCAGATAAGACTGATCAAGAGGTTTTTTGCAAATGTGCTTTTGTAAAACATAAATAAAAGAAAGTGTGGTCTACAAAAGGTTGGACACATGCTTTTTCAGCATGCATTATTCAGCCCAAGCACGACCTAGGCTGATAAATCCATGTCACATTTTAATATTCCCAGAAATGGAAACGTAGTGACCTTGGGGGCAACGAAAGATTACCTGATAGAAGTCGTAATTTGATGCTTTGATGTCAAAGGGGTCATCTCGGGGTGCCTGTTTCCTTCCACAGTTGCAGGCCCCAGTAGAGCGAGCCCGGCTGTTATGATACAACACTGGAGGATTCCTATCTGGTTCAGGTTTCTCTCCTAAAATGAAACGAAAACACACAAGATTGTATTCCTTTCAAAGAGGGCTCTGTTGATTGGACCACTTTGGACCATCAGGCTTTAATTCACACTAAAACAATCAAGAGAACGTAGAGAATTTCAATTCCCCACTTTCCCCCTTTACCTGAAAAACAACTTTTTAGTCTCTAGTGAAAATACAGGGTCACGGTTGAACAAAACCAAGCCTGGTTTTGCGATATGTCGTCTCAAGATCACCTCCTATTTTCCAAGACTCCAGTACTGACCTGGTTTAGGCAACAAGTGGAATTTATGCACGCAGTGCTGATCGGTCAAGCTTCTCTCTTCGCACAGTTGGTGCCCGTTGCTCCAGAACTTGTAGCAGTCTTCGTGCAACTGGAGGGCGTACTTGTGAAAGGCTGGACCCCGGGCATGCTGGCTATACACCCGCAAGGCCTGAGCCAGCTGGTTCTTATGGACGGTCATCGTGTAGTTGTGAGGCAGGTTGGACTGGTAGGCGTTGTGGGCCATGGGGAGGGCTTTCTGGCAGCGGTTCTCGGAGAACTTGGTGTCTATATCGAGGTAGCCCTCCAAGACTTTGATGCTCCCCATGATCTTGGAGGCAAGCTCTCCGGTGAAAGAGGAGGACTCGCCGTCTTTGCCTTTGAGGGTCACCTCGTAGAGCTTCAGGGCAGTGGCCACCCACTTCTGGTAGGTGGGGAGCTCAAAGTGGGAGGGCTGGGGGTTCCGCCCGACACTGTCATCAAAGCCCTTCTTGCTGAGGACCAGCTCCACGTGCTGGAAGAGGAATTCCTTCAAGGTGCAGTCCACCAGTTGCCCAGAAGAGGAGCTGCTGCTGCTGCCGCTGCTCTCGACGTGGAAGGATAACTGTTGCCTTCCATGCCTCATCATCTGGTACCTCCGCGGCCCGGCCAAGGCGGGCGTCAAAGACGGCTCCGCCTCCCGGTTGACGCAGTTGCTCCTCAGCTGGTCCAGCAGCACCGCCACGGGGTCGTCGCCCTCCTGGGCTCCTCCGGCGACGATGTACACAAAGGCTTGGTTGGCTGGGACGGTGAAGAGGCAGTTAATGCTCTGGTTGGTCAGCACCCGGCTCTTGCGGAAGATGCGATAGATCTGGTCCTCCAAAGCGTGCTGGAGGCGCCGCTTGGGGGAGTGCTTTTTGGGGGGAGGCTTCTCCAGGTGCCCGCAGAGGTCCTGCCCCCTGCTCGGAGGGGGCTCCACTTTGAGGGCCCCGTTGAGCTGGAAGAGGAAAAGCAGCCGGGGAGGGCACGGCCGGCAGTTGAGCTTCCAGTCTTTGCCCACCGGGCAGTCCTTGATGGCGGCCTTCAGGGAAGGGAGGACCTTCTGGCGCAAGCCGTCCAGCGCCCGGAAGACCCGGTCGTAGGTGATGTCGAAAGAGCAGGTGGGGTGCACCATCAGGAGGATGTGGCAGACCGAGAAGAGGTAGAGGAGGCTGAGGCAGTGCAGTTTCTCCTGGTTCTTCCAGAACTCGTGGGCCTCGGCGTGGGGCAGCGGGGCCCCGCCCTGGGCCGGGTGTCCCCCCAGGCCCGCCGATCCCTGGGCTTCTGCCATGGAGTCCAGGTCCTTGCAGGCCTGCAGCAGCTGGTGGCTGTCGCAGATGGAGGTGAGCACCAGGTAGAGGACTTTGCAGTCCTGGCTGTAATAGGCTTGGAGGAAGTTGTAATCCCCCTGGCAGGAGGCGGCGGAGAAAGAGGAGGAGGAGGAGGAGGAGGAAGAAGAAGAAGAGGCGGAGGAGGAGGGAGGGGGAGGAGGAGGGGGACCCCCTCCGCTCAGATCGCCTCCCAGACCGGCCCCAGCACCACCGCCACCACCGCCCAGGCCGTCCTCCCCGTCGCTCCCTCCTTCTGCTCCAAGGGAGGATCCGCCCTCGCCGTCCCCCTGGAAGAGAGGGAAGACCTGCCGGTCGCACACCGTGTTCACCAAGGCCGCCTTCTCGGAGCTGAGCTGCAGGGCCGTCTTGCCGAAGAGGCCCACCACGCAGACC